GTCGTGTCGTGTGTGTGTGTGTGTGTGTGTGTGTGTGTGTGTGTGTGTGTGTGTGTGTGTGTGTGTGTGTGCGTGTGTGTGTGTAGGAGGGGGCGTATCTGTGAGCTGGGTGTCCTTGCTTGTATCACAATGGCGCCCCAACCAAGGAACGTTCGCGTAAGTAAGTTCACACACAAACACACACACACACAAATAAACACACACGCACACACAAACACACCACGCGTGTCAGGTCACTGCAGGCGTCGCTTGACGGCGCGTCTGAGGAGATGGAGGGCGTGAAGCAGGAGCTGGCGGCGGCCGTGGCAGCCAGGGGCGACGCGCAGGAGGGTGGGGCGGTGCTGTGTGTGTGTGTGTGATGTGTGTGTGATGTGTGTGCGTATGTGTGGAGGATTCGTTTGACTGACGTGCGTGTGGTACGGCGTGTTTTGTGTGCAATCTTTTTTACTCACTCACACACGCGCGCGCTCACACGCTCACACGCTTACACTCGCACACGCGCACGCCTGGGTGGTTGCCATGTTGCAGCGCTTGTGTGTTCAAAGGAGCGGGTGGCGGAGGAGATGAAGAGTAACGAGCAGTTGACGACACGCATCAAAGAACTGGAAGCACAGGTGGGCTACTTTTTCTTGGGGGGGGGGAGGTGGTGGTGCTTTGTTGGTGCGTGTGTGTGTTTGTTGTTGTATCGTTGACGCTTCCTGTGCAGAATGCGAAACGACAGCCTCAGCGCAGCTGGAACCCCGTGTGTGTATACGCAAACACACACACACACACATACGCACACACACACATGCACCATACATACAAGCCATCTCACACATGCACCATACATACAAACCACCTCACACACACGCAGCATCTCTCACACATGTGCGCCACTGCCGGCAACCACACCTCGTGCCTCATCATCACCGCCATGCCCCACCCCCCTTCACATTCCCCGTCCATCACAGGTTACTGCGCGTGATGCCGCTGTCTCTGAATGGCGGCGGCGCTGCGAAGAGGAAGAGAAGACGGCAGCCAGGCTCAGGCAGGAGCTGAAGGAGGTGGGCATGTGATGTGTGTTTCGTGGCGGTGGGGTGGGGTGGGGGTTATTAATTGTCAGGAGCTTCTTGTGGATCTCTTGACGTGTGGTTTGTTCAACCTGCTGTCCCAGCTGCTGTTGCGAGCACAGCCGAATATGCACGCACGTACCGTATCTTCCACGCATGCGTGCACACACACACATAAATATATATATACACATATAAACACACATATAAACACACACTGCAACACACATCACGTCACTTCCTCCCTCCTCGGCACCAGGCGCGGGCTGACGCTGCGCAATTGCGACGGGCGGACGAACGGTGGACGCAGCGATTGCAGGAGGAGAAGAGGAGACGCGAGGCTGTCATCAGGGACATGGTGCGTTGCGTTGCTCTGTGTGTGTGTGTGTGTGTGTGTGTGTGTGTGTGTGTGTGTGTGTGTGTGTGTGATGAGAACGTAACAGCGCATGAAACGACCAAATACTGTCACAGCAACAGTCCATCACTACCATCATCGCCACCATTCATCAACCAACCGACCAACTGTTCATCAACCACCACGACCTTCGTTGCCAGGAGTCGCGCCACGCCTCGGCGGTGGCGGCGCTGCGGTCGGAGATGGACACAGAGCGCCAGACACTCAACCAGCGGCTCGCTGCCGAGGAGGTGCAATGTGGTGGCGGTGGTGACGTGTGTATGTTTGGGTGTGTGTGTCTGTGTGTCTGTCTGTGCCTGTGTGTATGTGTATCTGTCTGTCTGTCTGTCTGTCTGTACCTGTGTGTGTGTGTGTCTGTGTGTAATTGCTTGCTTGTGGAAGAGAGGGCGAAAGGAAGACAAAATGCACATCGGCACAGCAAGGTGGATGTCGTTGAAAGACCCGTGGGATGCTGTGTGCTCTGCCCCTCATCACGTCACGTCACGTCACATCACGTCACCTCTGCAGGCGCGGGTGGCGAGCGCACGACGCGATGTCGACGATTTGATCCGCGGATTCGCACGAACGCACACATACACGCGCACACACGCTGCACACCCACAAACGCACGCGCAAGCACGCCCACCCCAGGCATGACCCCGTCCGTGTGCACGCCTTGATGTTCACATTTTCTGCTTGTACATATTATGCAAACACTTTCGTTGTACATGACAATGTCGCGCTTGCATTGCTGCTCTCTGGTGTGTCCCCACGTTCTTTCTCATTCCTCTTCTTTTTCCGCGCTCACCCATCTTGTTCTCATCTTCATCGCGGTTTTCAGTCCCTTGTTCATGCCACCCTCCACGACACCAACACCACATGCGTACCGATTGCTGCGTTTATCGTTTTGTCTCCGCAAATGCTGCAAGTGGAATCGAGCGAATGCAACACATGCAAAGCACAGGCAGTCAAATTAGACACGAGAGAGAAAGAGAGTGAGTGAGTGTGTGTGTGTGTGTGTGTGTGTGTCATGAGAGGTGCGGGGAGATGAATTTGTTCATGGAAAAGGCGGTCATTTCGTCCTGTCACGCACAACAGAGTTGGGAGAACGTTTGGCAAGTCGTGAGCAAACGGGATGGATGAATGGGCGCATGTAAACACACACACACACACACACACAAAAAAAAAAAAAAAAAACACACGAACACACACACACACACACACATGGCCACAAGACGACAACGAAAGACTGGCTTCGCACCGGAAAGACGGCCTTCATCTTGTCGTCGCAGAGAATTCGTCTTCCGTCCCGTGGATCCTGCAGCCCATTCTCCTTAATGTACGCCCACAACAACTTCACAACCTGCACAAACGCAGACATTGGGGAGGCAGTGGGATGGTGGTGGTGGTGGTGGTGGTGGTGAGTGAGAGTGAAGGAGCGCCACATTTCAACCGGAATGGTGGTGTATCTCCACACTAGCATG